ACATGTAAATCCATGGCTGATTCATGTCAATGTATGACAAAAACCACTACAATATTGTAAAGTAATTAGCCTCCAACTAATAAAAATAAATGAAAAAAATGTGATCTTCAAGAGTGGAAGAAAATGCCTGTATTTTCATATTCTTGGGTCAATTAAAGTTACAGAACCAGTTAATCTTGAATTTAATCGAGTTCCAAATGTATTTCAAACAAAAATTAAAAAGGAACTCAATTGGTCAGATTCCAAATTCTTGTGGAAGACACAGTGTAACTAAATAATGAAAATATTCTGTGTAAAACTATAATGTGTAGTGCAGTGGATACTGTGCCTCTCCACCCAGATCTACTCTTGTGGACACATTCCTCCTGCTGCTACAAGTTCTGCCAGCCCGCAGAAGCCTGTCCTCTCTAGGAATGTCTCTTGGCCAAAGAAATCACTTCGCCTAGGATTTGTGTTCCTTCGAACAGGTAGCCAGCATCCAATTACTAGCTGATGCAGGACTATAATCATTCGTCCCTCCCATTTTAACTCCAGACATTTCTGGGGGACTGTCCTTTCTTCAGAGCCCCCTATGGGGTCAACAGTGGCTTAATGTGACATTTCAAGCACACTTTCTCCCTCAGTCCATTCCTGCACCAGTCTCCTCCCCACAGATGCTAATCACCAGAGCACTCACTAATAAACTTCCTACGTACTGATCTCCATCTCAGAGTCTGTCCAGAGAACCAGACTTGTCTCATCAGATGTAGATAAAAGATGGTTAAACATAGTGATACCAATATTTCAATAGGCAACTGAATCAGGAAGAAAATAGAAGGGCAAGAAACAGACACATGCATGTATGTACTATAGTGATTTGGCATGTCACAAAGGCTTTTTGTGGGGTTTTTTTTGACAGGAAATAATGGACTTTTATAGAAATGGTTGGGGACAATGACTGTCTACACATCAAAGGAAAACATAGTCAATTCTTTATCTTATATAATACATAAATAAAAACTGCACATAAATTAAAGATGTAGACATAAAAATCAAAGTGTGAAAACACCTAGAATTAAGTATCAGACAACATTTTGTAAGCTTGAATGGGAATAGGGTGTGAGCATAAGGCTTCCTAAACAAAATATGAAACTCAAGCATCATTTTTAAAAAATGATTGTCAGATTTTAAATTTTAAATTTTTTTTACCTTTACATTTTGACCTAATTTCAGACATACACAAAGTTGCAAAAGTAGTACAAAATATTATCACATATGCTTCTCCCATGCTGAAGAAAAACTGTCTAAGAAATATTTAATACATATGATTTTTACAAAAATATGATTTAGCAAATTGTGAAACTATTTGTATTGTAGGACTGAGTAAACACAAAAATATATTGTAGATAATGAAAGCCAACTTTCTCACAGTCACAGAAAAAGTTTATTCTAGTGAGAACACTAGAATAAATGCTGTGGTAATTAGTGGCATTAGTGTTTATAATAGATATACAGATATATCATGATTATAGACAGATAACCACCTCGGCCTGGATTTCTCCATGGGGCTCAATTCTTCAAAAGTAGATTTCATTCCACTTCTGTTATCTTGATTCTGTGTATTCCCACCTTACCCCCGCCCTCCCGCATTTCAATTATTTCCATAACTAATTTAAATGTGTTTGTAAGCTTGAGTCTTCCCTTGGAAATAACTTTCTCCTTGTTAACTCAAAGGAACCTCTAACATTTGAAATCATATGCAAAGTAACAAAGTGAAATAAAACATTCTAGACAGTGTTTACAAGAGGAATAACTGCTTTTTCTAATTTCACAAAAGTATCCCATAATAAAAATTATCTGCTTTGTCCTTAAGGATAAATTCACTTTTACCTTTTCCATCTGATTCATTTTCCTTTCTGATAACCCAGCATTGACCTCAGCTGAAGAGAGTCCTACAGCTGTGTTTGTACAATGTGATTACATGTGTTTAACTTTTTAGAAAAGGGATGGGTCCAATAAAATCCTCTTTGTGAAAATTTAAATTACAGACAAAGAAACTAAGAATCAGAATGTGGGGATTATGAAAGGCAGTTCTTGGAGATATGGGCTTTGGGGGTATGGTGGCCATTTTGTCCCATGTGCCCTGATGAGGCTTGCAGTATCACTGTTGGTACAGACGACAGAAGTGATACAGGAGACCAGGCATTTGCAAGAAAGTAGCTAGACGGTTTATATATTAACTTGTTGATTTTTCATGTATGGTAAGTCTGATTATAGAGTTAAGTCTAATAGTTGCTCATAGTTCTTTAATATAGAAGGCGCTCCATGCTTAAGATACCTTGAGTGGGTTTTTGTTCCTTGCTGTTAAGGAATTATCGGACAAGACATTGTATCACTGTTAAAACATGAAGAAAGTTGATGGAAGAAGTTATGCAGTGTGGATCTTTAGTAAATAATAGTGTTAATATTAGTTTAAGTTGTATATAATACATTTTAAATATTAATTTAAAACATGTGTAAATACATTTATATTATACAAAATGCAACAAAAAGTATATTGATGATAAAATAATGAGAATGAAGTCTCTTAACTGATGCTCTCTCCATATTTTATTGTGAAGTTTATTTATTGGTATGTATTCTATGTTGTTTTCCGACTTTAACCCAGATGTTTTTAATAAAGAAAGAACATAAAACAGAGTGCTTCAAGGACTTGGAAATTGAAAAGATATATAAATATATACATAAACATGATCTCCAATATTTCTAGCATACCTGAAAAAGTCTGTCCAATATAATTCTCTAGCACATGCTAATAACCTTGAATCAAAGAGCTATGAAATACTAAACTGAATTTAGTATTGTGAAAAGTTATCTTTTCTAGAATTCAGGAGAGGAAATCATCTCCTTTCCTTAAAAAAATAATTAGCATGCCCTGGAATGTTATATATTTCCTTGATGAAAAGCATGTGAAACAAAACTGGCTAGATCTGAGCAACCAAAATACAAGCAAGTATCTAACAATTGAGGAATAACTTTAGTAGGATTAGGGAGTTAGGGAGTTATTTCTCTCAAGAGTCATTTTAGAAGATATGAAGCCTGCAGACAGTTACAATCTATTAATTTTCATCATAGGCTGCTTTATTTCTTCTACACAGTGCTCAGCAAGTGCAAAGCTACCAAACACTCAGCTCTGAATATTCACTAATCAATAGACAATTATCTCTTACTGAGGTCAGGATGAAAACAACCCAACAAATAAATCACTGTCTTTACTCCATTCTTAACTTTATTTGCACTCTCTCCTGGTATGAGCCTTCAAAGCATATAGTGGTAATTTTTTGAAAACACTCACACACAATTCCACATAAAATTACCTTAGAATGTTTCGTGAGTAAAATTCATTTCTCCTTTGTGGACAACCTATAAATAATAAACAATAACAATAAACCATTGAGGCTAGCAATAAAATTAACACATAGCATACAATTGCATTGTTTTTGTGCTAGATGTTTACATTTTTTGTAACAAAAATTAACATATGCATTTTTAGTCTCATTTTATAGATGAGAAAACTGAAGTTCTAAGAAATTAAATCTTATCCAAGATAACAGTTAATTAGATACTAAGTGATTAATCCAGGATCATAAAACAAGACTTTAAAATGTTAACCATTCACTTTGAGTATTATCCATGAGATAATGTAGAAGTATACTGGTTTAAGTATTTTGCTAGCTATATTTTCTAAGATAGATCTAAGATGGATCTATCAGTTGGTATAAAGCAGTAAAGAAGGAAAAACAAATCAAATTATGTTTATGTTCATTATACAAATATAAAATGTAAGCTTAATTATAATTCTTTAGAAATTCATTCCTTATAATTCTGATATTATTTAAGGTTGTCCATTTTTAGAATGACAATGTTGGTTGACAACTTTTCTTCCCTAAAATATGATATCCTTTTCATGTTAACTTTTACATATATTAGATTGTACTTTTTGCTCTTATTTTTTGCTGCCTTATATCCACAACCAACAAAAACATATTAGTGCTTCAGAAATACTTCAGTAAAACATAAAATGAGTCATGAAGGTGTAATCTGAATTATACAACTCAGAAAATGTCTCAAATTACGTCAAGCATGAGTCTGGCATGAAAAATTAAATTTGTTATTATAGTGACAAATGTACAAATGTGAATATTTATATAAGCATGTATATAATAAAATTACAATAAAATATCTGATAGTAAATATCTGATGAACATTGTATATTATTAGAGTGGAAAGTCAGTTGAATAACATTGACATAGAGCCAGTGAAGTTGCCACAATTAAAAGCAAAAAAGAAAAAGGGACAACCTAGAGGTTTATTTTTCCTGAATTAGAAAAATATAATCCAGTTAAAAAAAGTAATTAATTTTAAAGATAAAAACAGAGAAGAAACTAAAATTATAGTTCTATCATTTAAAATTGTAGTCCTGAGACTTAAGTATAAATCACAGTATAACAAAATATTTGCAAAATCAGGTAGAATATTAAGAACTAACATTCTTTTCAAAGAGAAAACTGAATAAGTTGTTGTAAAAATTCTCTCATGACATTATGTTGTTGGTTATCATGTAACGGAACTGACGTACATCACAGAAGAACAATTAACATTACAGTATCACTCCATCAGATAGTTTTCTTTACAAATGCACAAAACCCTTGAGGCATAGAATATGACTATGCTCTTAGAATATATGTGGTACCTATATCAAGGAGATGGTCCTGGTTAGTATTTGTTTGATATGCTACTGAAAACCCCACCTGCTTGGAAAGAGATACTTCATTTATATAACATGTATTCTGTGTGTCATGACTTAGCTACAGAAGGAGGCATTAATGCCAGTAGTGAAGAAAAGTTATCAATACGTCTTCCAAGAAAGGGTATTTCTGTGTGAAGAGAAGATATTGACTATGAAAAAAAAATTACACAACCTAAATTTTGAGAATTATATTTTGTTTTGAGACAAAACTGAGGGCTTAAGCCTAGGGCACAGCCTCTCAGAGAAACTTGAGGGACTGCTTCAAAGAGTTAAGGGAGGTGATGGAGGAATTTTTGTAACACAGACCAGATAGTGGGATCATCAAAAGATTACTGTCAATTAAATAAAACCAGATATCTCAAGTTAATGAGATAGCTTTATATGAGAAGATGCAAGAGTCTGGGCTTACTGAAATCCTTCCTCGGATACGCACCTCGGCTGTCTGGGATCAGTATCCTATTCTTTCCCTTCCAGAGTTCCCTCATGGCTCACCACAGGGGATGCTTTAGTGGCTTGGAGCCTGCAACATCTTTTGTTTAGCAGGCAACAGTTTTCATTCATAATACCAATCCACACAGAGTTTTAGTCACAGACATTGGTTGTGAGTCAAAATTAGATTTTTTAATCATAATTTGGTGATGAAAGAAACTGCAAATATCATAAATTTGTTCAAACCATATTCTCTGGGTCTACATCTTTTTAACATGCTGAGTGAAGAAATGGGCAGTGAATACAAACCTAATTTCCCAGATGAAGGCTCTTGCACCTCAAAGTTAAAGAAGCTCAACCAAATTTAAAGAAATATGAGGATAAAACTATTTCTTAGTGAATGCCCAGTTAGATTAAGCACAAACTGGAATCAAGATCGCCAGGAGAAATATCAATAACCTCAGATAGGCAGATGGTGCCACTCTAATGGCAGAAAGTGAAGAAGAACTAAAGAGCTTCTTGATGACACTGAAAGAGCAGAGTGAAAAATCTGGCTTAAAACTCAACAATCAAAAAATGAATATCATGGCACCCGGTCCCATCACTTCATGGCAAATAGATGGGTAAAAGAATGGAAACAGTGACAGACTTTGTTTTCTTGGGCACCAAAATCACTGAAGATGGTGATTGCAGCCATGAAATTAAAAGATGCTTGCTCCTTGGGAGGGAAGCTATGACAAATCTAGACAACATATTATAAAGCAGACATCACTTTGCCAACAAAGGTCTGTATAGTCAAAGTTGTGGTTTTTCCAACTGTCATGTATGAACATGAAAGCTGGACCATAAAGAAGGTTGAGCACTGAAGAACTGATGCTTTTGAACTGTGGTGTTGGAGAAGACTCTTTAGAGTCCCTTGGACAACAAAGAGATCAAACCAGTCAATCCAAAAGGAAATCAACCCTGAACATTCACTGGAAGGACTAATGCTAAAGCTGAAGCTGAAGCTCCAATTCTTTGGCCATCTACTGTGAAAAACTGACTCATTAGAAAAGACCCTGATGCTGGGAAAGATTGAGAGCAGGAGGAGAAGGGGGTGATAGAGGATGAGATGGTTATATAGCATCATCAACTCAATGAACATGAACTTGAGCAAGCTCCAGGAGACAGTGAAGGACAGGGGAGGCTGCCTTGCTGCAGTACATGGGGTTGCAAAGAGTCGGACATGACTCTGTGACTGAAGCAGCAATGATTGATTCTAACATTGAAAGTTAAAACATCCTTTGAATTCATGTGGCTTGCTTGCGTGGCACAAGTTAGTGATACACCCAGCATGTTGCAGGGTCCCAGTCTGTTATTTAAGGATCACAGTATTATTTTTAGTTTTGGAGATAAAAGCATGGTGTATCTTAAGAAAAAAAAGTCCATCTCAGTGTCTATTAGAGTTCTCGATAGAAGCAGAATCAATAGGAGTTCTAGCTAAAGAGAAAGATTGATTTCCTATGAAGAATTAACTCACATAATTACGGAGGCTGAGAAGTCCCACATTCTTTCATCTGCAAGTCTGCAAGCTGGAGACCTAGAAAGTCTGTGGTATAATTTACTTTGAGGAATCTGAAGGCCTGAGAACTAGGGGAGCTGATAGTGTAAATGCCAGTCTGAAGGTAGGAAAAAATTGACGAAATATCCCAGCTCCACACTAAGGCAGAAGAAAGTGGCAAATTTCTCCTTCCTCCACCTATTGTTCGACTTAGGGCTTCAAGGGATTGTGGGATGCCCACCCACATTTACTGATTCCACAAATAATTCAAACGCTAAACTCACACAGATACACAAAGAAATAATGTTAAACATGGGCACCCATTTATCCAGTCAAGTTAACACATAAAATTAACCATCACATAGGACAAGTAAATATATTGCTGAAAGTTTTATTTTCTCTATGCCTTTATTATTTTCTTACTCACTAAAGAAATTCAACATAAATCATAAGACATATTTTAATATTTATATATAAATAATATTACTATATCCTATTGAGTGTATAATCCTCCCAAAGAGTAGACTAGGAATTCATTTGCCATTATCCTTTGTGTAGCAGCTTTTGACTGAACCATACTTAGCAATTTGTTCCAGGGAAGAGCGCTGAAAGGAGTTATTGATTTCATTAGAATCCAGTTACCCAGAACTACCTGACAGAGAGCCACTTCTGGATGCCTTTGCCAACGATGTGCAATTGTAACTTAATTGTACCTTTTTTGCAAAGTGCAAAAATGCAAGCAAACCCTAATTCACTGCTCCGACTCTCCATCACCAAAAGATACTGTACATGCACAGTAGGGAGAGAATCCCTATAGTTGATTATGTATTTGCTTTGTAATTTTAGGTTAACCAGTTCAGAAGAGATTATATGGGTGCTTCAGAATCTTCACCTATAAATGAACAAGTCCTTCATAGAAAGGACTTTAGCAGAATAAAAGGCGTAAAAGCTACTCAAAGCATCATATGATAAAGAAATAATAGAAGTGATAAAATAAGTCAGAATACCTGGGCTGGAGTTGTTCTTATACATCAGGGAAATCATAGATCATAACGCAGTATTTTCAGTTCAGTTCAGTTCAATCACTCAGTCATGTCCAATACTTTGTGACCCCATGGACTGCAGCACGCCAGGCTTTCCTGGCCATCACCAACTCCTGGAGTTTACTCACACTCATGTCCATTGAGTCGGTGTTGCCATGCAACTATCTCATCCTCTTTTGATCCCCTTTCTTCCTGCTTTCAACTTTCCCAGCATCAGGGTCTTTTCAAATGAGTCAGCTCTTTGCACGAGGTGGCCAAAGTACTGGAATTTCAGCTTCAACATCAGTCCTTCCAATGAATGTTAAGGACTGATTTCCTTTAGGATNACATACACAATCCTATCTTGAAAGTTTGGTACTATAAAGAGGTCTAAGGTGATGTAAATAATCATGTAACCTGTTTGAATGAATTTCATTTTCATATATCAGTATTGTCTATATTTCAAGGTCTCTTGACCCTGCTGAATTTTCTTGCCATCTTCATGTTTGACAACAGTCCCCTGCAAAGTGTTTTGAGTCCCAAGTGAATTTTTTTAATTAAGTAGTTTATTTTAATTGGAGGATAATTTCTTTAAAATATTTGGTAGTTTTTGCCATACATCG